AATGATCATTTAAATATATAACTTTAACCCATTGACCTTTGATGGTACTCAAATTTACCACTACTGTGTACCATATGGGTAATATCAAGAGCCAAGGGTTGAAGGAACAACATAATACAGGACTAAACTAAAGCCACCACCTCATCCATAACCCTCCTGTCGATCGATCGCCTTTGTCGTGTCGACGGTTCTGCTTCTTCGTGAGATCCCACTTCATCTTCACTTTGAGGTCCGGATTCCTTAAAAAAGCACATAGCTGAAAATCATAGCCACTCCAGAAGATGCTCTGGACAGTCAAAGTGGCAACGACCGACAAAAACAGCGGACCCTGCGACTGCGCGGGACTAACGCTAGGGAAAAGAAGAAGAAGCTGAAAATTTGGCTTCTGAAAAAGACTGATCACAACACAACAATCACCTGATGTTCATTGGACATCGATCGTCTCTGCCTCTTGTTCCTATCGTCTCTTTGGATTGAAATCGAATCAGTGATAGAAGTATATTCGCCATGACGATGACGTCGTACAGCCCTGAATCAGGGTCAATTTCAATGGTGTTAAAACGAAAAGAGACCATATGAATGCCCTCAGAAGAAAGCATGAAAAAACTATCAAAAAGTCTGCAACTATCTAATTCCCGAAAGAAAAAAGTTCTAATCACGCTATTAATTTGGTTCAATAACACACTCAATCACCTTGCATTTTCCTTCACGAAGTCAACACTGTAAAAATGAATTTTCAGACTTCAATATTATTGGCTTTTTGCTAAATATAACTACTACTCATTAAGAACTTACGACATCGATTTAACAGGCGTCACATTGGCTGGATCCAGCGACAGCATACTTCCGTAACGCCGGTCATGAGGACGAGGTGACAGCAAAGCTGGATCTTCCGTTGAACCATGTGGACCTACAAAGAAAATACATATAATCACGTGATTCTGGGGACGAAATAATCTAATAAAAAAAAATAAAATAAAAAAGCTCGAGAAAATGACACTGAAATAGTGTTGTCCTAAATGAAGAAATAAACCAGCATATTACCTGTAAGACCGCAAACAGTGTTCACTCGCTGTCTTCGTTGTCCAACCTGAGCCACTGGAGCCGTGCCCTCATCCGCGTCTGACTCCACAACACCAGTCTGAGAATATTTCAGTGAATTTTGAAATCACCAACGTTTTTATCAGAAAGTTCTTACGTCAACACAAATCCGTTCTTCTGGAATCGACGAAGTCGTCAACTGAGAAGTCATGATCGATCGAAGACAATCGAGGATTTCAGGTCTAAA